TTTGCAGGCCATTCACACACATCTGGAATCTCACCAAAATTGTTTTCACTGATGTCTAAGAGAGTTAGGTTTCTTAGATGAAACAAGCTTTTACCTGTCATTTCTAAGTCACTCAATGAATTCTGACTAAGATTTAGAGTTTGTAATGAAGGCCATGCACCCTGACAGGCCGAATGCTCCAAACTCTGATCACCAAGTAAATTTGCACTAAGGTCAAGATACTCCAATGACAGAAGTTGTTGTGAAAGTTTGCATGGTACCAGAAACACCTTGGTATTTTCAACTGTGACTCTCCTAAAAAGAGATAGTAGATTTAGTACAGACTGGAGATCTGTAAACAAATAGAATTCTTCTATAGATAAATTTTCTATTGTCAGAACCCTCAGAGATTGTGACTGCTTTGCATGAATTTGTGTATACCACTGACCAGTGCCCAAGAGTGTACAGTCTTTCATCTCCACCTCCACTAATCTTGGCATGCCTTCTAAAATGCTGACAATCACAGGTACAGTAGCATCTGTAAATAAGCACTGTTTTAAAGATATTTTCTTTGCGAAAGAGGAAGACATAATTCTCAAAAGTTGTATTTTTTCAGGAACACTGAATGCTAGTTTTCTTACATCTAACCAAATGGCAGAGTGCAGAAGGTCCCTGATGACTGCTGAGAATACATCAATCCTTCGCACGCTTATGATCATGTGATTTATCTTCCTAATCGATTTCAGACTTCCAGGTTCGTACTGACTGAGATTGCCACCGTCAATCTTCAGCGTGTTGAGAAACGGAATGCCCTCAAAGTTTCCTTGCCTGATGATGGAGAAGTGTGGGTTGCCCAGGTGGAGGGAGTTCAAGTTTCTCAGGCTGGAAAAGGGGGAACTTCCTCCCAGGTCGCTGTAGGAATTGCCTTGAATGCGGAGGTGCTGGAGCGAGAAAAGGGGCCCAAACCACACCGGGGACAAGTGAGCCAGGCTGTTATTTGACAAGTCCAAGAGCTCCAGTTTCCCCTGGGAGGCAAACGAGTCCTCGTCTACGGAGCTGATTTGGTTGGACTGCAGCAGCAGGGCTCTCAGGTTCACAGCCTGCTGCAGATCATGTGCCCGGATCAGCTTTATCCTGTTGTGGGCCAGGTTTAACGCCGTGATTTTGCCCGTGAGCCCCGAGGGAATGAAGTCCAAACCCATGGAAGAGCAGTTGCAAGACTGAGTGGCATCGCAAGAAAGACAGGCCTGTCCCAGGGCTTGTTCTTCAGGGAGGAGTGCAGCCAAGGCTATGTAGATCACCCACACTTTCCAAGTATGCATAGTTGTTTATTTTGCCTAAACTTTGAAATATCTACAAAATACAAGATGATTACTTAGTTTTGGAGTAGCTACGCTTTGGATATAGCTAAAACACAGTCCCTCTTACTTTTCTGTCTTTCTGAAGACACTATGATAACATTTGTTTTTAATGCATTTCAGGGATGAATTGCATTATTTTACACACACACACAAAAAGCTTATTGTACCTAAATATTCCAAAATAATTTGCGAAATGCCAATTACATTGAATTAACTCTTTTCTTTCTCCACCATGTTCTCAGTTTGAGTGAGTACTGTTAAATGAATGGACAGCTGCACATATTTTTCAAATTTAACTAGAGACCTGAATAACTGCTATATTATTACAAATCCAATCCCATTTAGAAATATTTAATATTCATTCAAGCATATGTCTAATCTCACTTCTGATGGTACAGAGAAGAAGGCTGCATATATTTCAACTACTTTCTTCTGCCTTTGGCTATCCCTGGCATATATATGCTAGATGCAGAGAGATATGTCTGTGTAGTCTATCATTATCATATTGTGATCAGTCTAATACTTGAATCTGAAACACAAGCTGGTAGAACTGACCATTACAATTTGCTGACTCCTAGATCTTCCTTTTTACTGCCATATCCTCCCCCTCGGCTAGGGATTTTTTCTGCTTTGGATCAGAGGTTCTGGGTGCTTCCTGCAGGTCAGGTCAATTGGCTGGAATATATCCACTTCTTTTTCCAGCCTCACAGCCAGTTCCTTGTGATCTGAATTGAAACGATTAGAGATAACCCCCACAGTTGTAGGTGGATTCTCTCTCACTCTTCTTTCTCCTCACTTTCATACCTTCCATATTGATTACGTGTTTTTTTTTTGTATTGCAGAGCATACCAAAATACCCAGCTTGACCTCACTTCCAACAGAGATATTAGCTAGTTTCTTTGAGGAACTAGAATAAAACAATTCTTAAAGCTAGGGAGGGCAGTTTTCCCCTAAAAATACTTATAATATGTTGCATTTAGAACCTTTTTTTGGTTTATGCTTTCTTGGCAAGGATCAAAGAGCACTTTTAAAGTATGAGATAACGTTTCCCAGTGTATCACAGAATCCTTGCCAGAGATGTTGTCACTTTACTGAGGGTCAAAAGAGTGAACCATCTCCAAAGAGACAAATGAACTGTTCCCAAAGGTTAGATTGACTCACAGAGGAGTACTTTCTCCTTCAGTCATCCCACTGAGATACTGTGCAGAAGAACTACTGTACTCGGAATTCATACCCCAGTTTGTTTTACAGTAGCTGGCCCAAATAGGCAAGTTCATACAGACAAGTCCTCCTGTTCTAGTTGCATTATTTGAGCTAGAGTTGCTTAAAGTCACTCAAAAAGGGCAGAACTAGATGAGGTTGTTTGGACATACAGAGACAAGAGGAAAGGATGTGGTTCATTTTTTAGATCCTTCCATCTCTTCCCACCTAAAAAAGACGACAAGTATTTTGACTTCATGCTCTATTTTCCCTCAATCTCTGTCTTTTTCTGATGTAGAGATTTCAGTCTTGGAGGACACAATAATCTCCCCAGACTTTAAAGCTGTGGTCACTCACCATGTACTTCAAGGTCACTGAAGAGAAATAACAGCTTTTAGGGGCAATTCACATCCTGTCTTGTAGACACGTAATAAGATACAATACCTCCAAGAAAAATTATACCATAATCTTAAATGAAGATCCCTTGTATAGCTGTCTAGCTGTTTAGGCAGGTGAATCCCATCCAAAGTTATAATCTATAGTCGCACTCACCTGCTGTCCAGATGAGGCTTTTTTATGGGGCTTCTTTGATTATGTGAAGCTGGCTGGATAACACAGTGCTGTAAGGCAATAGCAGAAAAAGCTACAGTGTAGATCAGTTTCATGAGCAACACATTCAAGTGTGATTACTAAAATAATAGCAAGCCTAAGGTGGCATCAAGCTGCACACTAGTTAGGAAAAGAGACAATAATTAGAAAAAAACACAAACAACTAGGCAGCATGATCCATCAAAATCTATCTAAAGGTTGGTTATGTACAGATTGAAAATTGGCAGAACAAAAGGGAACTGGACAGGTAACACACTGGAAACACTTGGCTGAGCCAAACAACTCTCCTCCTTACTGGCAGGGAGGGCAGGAATAAATTCAGTTTGGTGGCACAGGAGGAATTTTTCTACCCTGTCACTACCCCGAGTGTCTTTTCCAGGTTGTTTTGACTGTCTGTCCCATGGGGGCACTCTTGGAAACTCCTTTCTTACTCTCATTCATTTTCAGCCATTCTCTTCCCATTCCTGTCTTGTAAGCCTGCTTCCTGACTTCCAGGGTCCTTCTCTGACCCCTCCACACCCATTCAGAAACACTTCCCCGCTCCACTTACCACCCTATTAAGGAATCACTTTTTCCCTTTTGTGATGGATACAGAATAAATTGCCACATAGAAGCTGAAATACAGGTAATATGGGAAAACTTTCACAGATAACACTTGTACCATAAGGCATCATAATGAATTAAATTCCCAAAGTGTTTCTGGTTTACAGACAAAGATAACCCAGGCACATTCAAGGTTATTCTTCCTAGACAAAAGTAGTAGAAGTATAGGAACATATTCCTAAACAAAACCACGAGTGTCAATAGAGCAAGGTTCTGTAAATGCTAATAGATGCTAAATGTAAGTGCATGCAAATAGCGTGCAAATTGATTCTAGCTTGGGAAGCAGCATCAAGCTAAAAGAGGGGTATTAAATTCTAGAAACGCTACAGAATGCAGTGTGGATCGATGCACAAGCAGACTGGGAAAATTGTTGCCTCCCACTCAGTTGTGCATGTATTACACACATCCTGGTTATGCATCAATAGCACGTATGTGTATATGCGTACACACACATGTAAAGCAATGGTGATAGCAGAGTGAAGTAAGGAGCTAGCTGACCCCCTTGTCCTGAGACATTGCTTACTGAGCTCCTTCTTGTTGGATTCCTAAAACAAAAGCAGCCCATGTTCACATTTCTCCTTCCCTGGGCAGTTGGCAGTGACGTACAAACGGGACAACACATGAACTGGACAAAGCATACACAAGGCATCCTTCCAAGAGGAAACTGAGCATAAGTTTTCCAGCCTGACCCAGCTTGTCTCTTTTTCATTAGCTGCCTTACTCCTTCCCTGTTTCCTGAAGGACACTGCTGCTGGTACTCCCAGGGAGTGTTCCACTCAACACTTGCCTGCTACGCAGCCCTGCCAGCTGCCTGTAATTGCTCCTACCATCTCCACTGCTGGCAGCCAGAAATTCCTTCCCACTATGCCCTCCAGGAGGTGGCCCCTGCCCAGCACCCAAGCATCCTGCATCTCCCACACTGAGGAGTAAGGCTTGGTGGCAGAGGTTAGATAGTCCAGTGCACCCTCCTCACTTCTCACAACGGCATCATAGCGTCTCTCTCTTTCTCTGAACCTCCAGCCTGCAAACTCACCTCTGTGCAGAAACCATTCCCTGGTGCTCCATCTCGAGTGCTTGCATGCTGCTTATCCTGCTTTATGTTTCTTCTCTCTCTTGATGACTGCTCTTCACCCAGCTTCCTCTCATGTGGCTGTTTCCTTACCACTTCAGTTTTCAGATTCAGCTATGTATGTGGGGTAATTCCTATGTGGAGAATCTGATTGACACAAAATCAGTAGTGTTGTTCATCTTCTTTAAATGAGTGAGTCCATGAAATGTGGGCTTGTGGTAAGAGCACATCACAAAGTCAATTCCACCTATTTCCCTCCTTATCTCTAGGCACTCAGCCCCCCAGTCACTTTTATCTATGCTCAGTGTTTGCTACCACATGATTCACTAGTCACTTGCCAAAAGTTCAGATCTGACTGGCCCTTGTGCTATTTTGATCCAACAGAGTGAACTGAAAAAAGCAGACTTTGGACCAACCCTACAGAAGTCATTACACCAGGAAACTAGAACTGAAAGCAGGGTATGCACCATGCTACACCCTCAGAAAATGTAATCTCATGTGTGTGCATATTCATACACGTATGAATAACACACACAGAAGCATGGGTACGTAAGTATACACACACAAGTATATGTGAGTACATACAAATACGCCCACAGAGACACATGTGTACAAGCAGATTTCCTTATTTTCCAAATACACTCAGCCCATACACCCATACTTTGACATTCCATCACAAACCAATTGCCTGCAACGCCATCTAGCCCACTCATTAGAAACACCTGCTTATGGCCCACAGTGAGCTACTTCTCTTCTCAGGCAGAAGAAAGCACAGTAGCCACAAAGGGAGAAGCAAGCCTTTACAGGGAGAAAGAAGCCCGAGAAAGTAAAACAAACATTGATTTAATACCCCTGGATTTCACCACAGTCATTGTCCAAGGTGCCAGGATGCTTCCTTATAAGTATCGTGCAAAACCCACTCTGTACGTGGGGGTACGGACTCCAGAATAATTATCCAGACTTGTGACAGATGTTTTATTCAGTGCTGCCTGTTCTGTGTTGCACAACACTGGTAAGGCTTCAGAGGCATATTTCAATGTAAAATCTCACTTTTTCTACATAAGGTAATTTTAATTGCCTTCTATGTTAAATGGCACAGAAAAAGAAAATGAAAGGAGAAGAACTGACGTGGAAGTATTGAAGCCTTTGGCTTTTATTATTGATTCACAATTACAATGGAATTGTTAGGAATTAATCAGTGATATGACGACAGCAGGAAAGAGTATAGAAAAGCACTAAGAAGACCAGCTAATTTATTTAGAAAAGTATCCAAAGTCCAGCATGACTCCCAAATATAACTGCTACTGACAAGGATTTTGGAAGACAAGAACATCAAATTAAAAAAAAAAAAAAAAAAAAGCCTGATGTTGCTCTTTTTCATTTAGTAACGTAATACATTTATCTATCCACAGGAAAGCCAGTTCTCATTAGGCATACAAAGTTAAACGTCTTAGAAAGAAAAAGCATTGACCATTGTGGAAAT